CCACCCTCCTGTTTTTACAGAGTTCACTCCCCAGTAATGGCTGTTGAATGTACTAGCCGGCCGGTTCACAGTGTCCCTTCTCACAAACCACCCTCCTGTTTTTACAGAGTTCACTCCCCAGTATTGGCTGTTGAATGTACTAGCCGGCCGGTTCAAAGTGTCCCTTCTCACAAACCACCCTCCTGTTTTTACAGAGTTCACTCCCCAATTTTGGCTGTTGAATGTACTAGCCGGTCGGTTCACACTATCCCTTCTCACAAACAACCCTCCTGTTTTTACAGACTTCACTCCTCAGTATTGGCAGTTGAATGTACTAGCCGGCCGGTTCACGCTGTCCCTTCTCACAAACCACCCTCCTGTTTTTACAGAGTTCTCTCCCCAGTATTGGCAGTTGAATGTACTAGCCGGCCGGTTCACACTATCCCTTCTCACAAACCACCCTCCTGTTTTGAGAGAGTTCACTCCCCAGTACTGGCAGTTGAATGTACTAGCCGGCCGGTTCACAGTGTCCCTTCTCACAAACCACCCTCCTGTTTTTACAGAGTTCACTCCCCAGTATTGGCTGTTGAATGTACTAGCCGGCAGGTTCACACTATCCCTTCTAACAAACCACCCTCCTGTTTTTACAGAATTCACTCCCCAGTATTGGCAGTTGAATGTACTAGCCGGCCGGTTCACACTATCCCTTCTAACAAACCACCCTCCTGTTTTTACAGAGTTCACTCCCCAGTATTAGCAGTTGAATGTATGTGCCGGCCGGTTCACACTATCCCTCCTCACAAACCACCCTCCTGTTTTCACAGAGTTCACTCCCCAGTATTAGCAGTTGAATGTACTAGCTGGCCGGTTCACACTATCCCTTCTCACAAACCACCCTCCTGTTTTTACAGAGTTCACTCCCCAGTATTAGCAGTTGAATGTACTAGCCGGCCGGTTCACACTATCCCTTCACACAAACCACCCTCCTGTTTTTACAGAGCTCACTCCTCAGGATTGGCAGTTGAATGTACTAGCCGGCCGGTTCACACTATCCCTCCTCACAAACCACCCTCCTGTTTTTACAGAGTTCTCTCCCCAGTATTAGCAGTTGAATGTACTAGCCGGCCGGTTCGCGGAGTCTCCCTTCTAACAAACCACCCTCCTGTTTTTACAGAGTTCACTCCCCAGTATTGGCTGTTGAATGTACTAGCCGGCCGGTTCACACTATCCCTTCTAACAAACCACCCTCCTGTTTTTACAGAGTTCTCTCCCCAGTATTAGCAGTTGAATGTACTAGCCGGCCGGTTCACACTATCCCTTCTCACAAACCACCCTCCTGTTTTTACAGAGTTCACTCCCCAGTATTAACAGTTGAATGTACTAGCCGGCCGGTTCACACTATCCCTTCACACAAACCACCCTCCTGTTTTCACAGAGTTCACTTCCCAGGTTTGGCTGTTGAATGTACTAGCCGGCCGGTTCACAGTCTGCCTTCTCACAAACCATCCTCCTGTTTTTACAGAGTTCACTCCCCAGTTTTGGCTGTTGAATGTACTAGCCGGCCGGTTCACAGTCTGCCTTCTCACAAACCACCCTCCTGTTTTTACAGAGTTCACTCCCCAGTATTAGCAGTTGAATGTACTAGCCGGCCGGTTCACACTATCCCTTCTCACAAACCACCCTCCTGTTTTTACAGAGTTCACTCCTCAGTATTGGCAGTTGAATGTACTAGCCGGCCGGTTCGCGGAGTCTCCCTTCTCACAAACCACCCTCCTGTTTTTACAGAGTTCACTCCCCAGTATTGGCTGTTGAATGTACTAGCCGGCCGGTTCACACTTTCCCTTCTAACAAACCACCCTCCTGTTTTTACAGAGTTCACTCCCCAGTTTTGGCTGTTGAATGTACTAGCCGGCCGGTTCACACTTTCCCTTTTCACAAACCACCCTCCTGTTTTTACAGAGTTCACTCCCCAGTATTAGCAGTTGAATGTACTAGCCGGCCGGTTCACACTATCCCTTCTAACAAACCACCCTCCTGTTTTTACAGAGTTCACTCCCCAGTATTAGCACTTGAATGTACTAGCCGGGCGGTTCACACTATCCCTTCTCACAAACCACCCTCCTGTTTTTACAGAGTTCTCTCCCCAGTATTAGCAGTTGAATGTACTAGCCGGCCGGTTTACACTATCCCTTCTCACAAACCACCCTCCTGTTTTTACAGAGTTCACTCCCCAGTATTAGCAGTTGAATGTTCTAGCCGGCCGGTTCGCGGAGTCTCCCTTCTAACAAACCACCTTCCTGTTTTTACAGAGTTCACTCCCCAGTATTAACAGTTGAATGTACTAGCCGGCCGGTTCGCGGAGTCTCCCTTCTAACAAACCACCTTCCTGTTTTTACAGAGTTCACTCCCCAGTATTAGCAGTTGAATGTACTAGCCGGCCGGTTCACAGTCTCCCTTCTCACAAACCACCTTCCTGTTTTTACAGACTTCACTCCCCAGTATTGACAGTTGAATGTACTAGCCGGTCGGTTCGCGGAGTCTCCCTTCTAACAAACCACCTATCTGTTTTTACAGAGTTCACTCCCCAGTATAAGCAGTTGAATGTACTAGCCGGCCGGTTCAAAGTGTCCCTTCTCACAAACCACCTTCCTGTTTTTACAGACTTCACTCCCCAGTATTGACAGTTGAATGTACTAGCCGGCCGGTTCAAGGAGTGTCCCTTCTCACAAACTACCCTCCTGCTTTTACAGAGTTCTCTCCCAAGTATTAGCAGTTGAATGTACTAGCCGGCCGGTTCACACTATCCCTTCTCACAAACCACCCTCCTGTTTTTACAGAGTTCACTCCCCAGTTTTGGCTGTTGAATGTACTAGCCGACCGGTTCACACTATCCCTTCTAACAAACCACCCTCCTGTTTTTACAGAGTTCACTCCCCAGTAATAGCAGTTGAATGTACTAGCCGGCCGGTTCACACTATCCCTTCTCACAAACCACCCTCCTGTTTTTACAGAATTCACTCCCCAGTATTAGCAGTTGAATGTACTAGCCGGACGGTTCAAGGAGTCTCCTTTCTAACAAACCACCCTCCTGTTTTTACAGAGTTCACTCCTCGGAATTGGCAGTTGAATGTACTAGCCGGCCGGTTCACACTGTCCCTTCTCACAAACCACCCTCCTGTTTTTACAGAGTTCACTCCCCAGTTTTGGCTGTTGAATGTACTAGCCGACCGGTTCACACTCTCCCTTCTAACAAACCACCCTCCTGTTTTTACAGAGTTCTCTCCCCAGTATTGGCAGTTGAATGTACTAGCCGGCCGGTTCACACTATCCCTTCTCACAAACCACCCTCCTGTTTTTACAGAATTCACTCCCCAGTATTGGCAGTTGAATGTACTAGCCGGCCGGTTCACACTATCCCTTCTAACAAACCACCCTCCTGTTTTTACAGAGTTCACTCCCCAGTATTAGCAGTTGAATGTATCTGCCGGCCGGTTCACACTATCCCTCCTCACAAACCACCCTCCTGTTTTTACAGAGTTCACTCCCCAGTATTAGCAGTTGAATGTACTAGCTGGCCGGTTCACACTATCCCTTCTCACAAACCACCCTCCTGTTTTTACAGAGTTCACTCCCCAGTATTAGCAGTTGAATGTACTAGCCGGCCGGTTCACACTATCCCTTCACACAAACCACCCTCCTGTTTTTACAGAGCTCACTCCCCAGTATTGACAGTTGAATGTACTAGCCGGCCGGTTCACAGTGTCCCTTCTAACAAACCACCCTCCTGTTTTTACAGAGTTCTCTCCCAAGTATTAGCAGTTGAATGTACTAGCCGGCCGGTTCACACTATCCCTTCTCACAAACCACCCTCCTGTTTTTACAGAGTTCACTCCCCAGTATTAGCAGTTCAATGTACTAGCCGGCCGGTTCACACTATCCCTTCTCACAAACCAAAAACCTGTTTTTACAGAGTTCACTCCTCAGTATTGGCAGTTGAATGTACTAGCCGGCCGGTTCACACTATCCCTCCTCACAAACCACCCTCCTGTTTTTACAGAGCTCACTCCTCGGGATTGGCAGTTGAATGTACTAGCCGGCCGGTTCACAGTGTCCCTTCTAACAAACCACCCTCCTGTTTTTACAGACTTCACTCCCCAGTATTGACAGTTGAATGTACTAGCCGGCCGGTTCAAGGAGTGTCCCTTCTCACAAACTACCCTCCTGCTTTTACAGAGTTCTCTCCCAAGTATTAGCAGTTGAATGTACTAGCCGGCCGGTTCACACTATCCCTTCTCACAAACCACTCTCCTGTTTTTACAGAGTTCACTCCCCAGTATTAGCAGTTCAATGTACTAGCCGGCCGGTTCACACTATCCCTTCTCACAAACCAAAAACCTGTTTTTACAGAGTTCACTCCTCAGTATTGGCAGTTGAATGTACTAGCCGGCCGGTTCACACTATCCCTCCTCACAAACCACCCTCCTGTTTTTACAGAGCTCACTCCTCAGGATTGGCAGTTGAATGTACTAGCCGGCCGGTTCGCGGAGTCTCCCTTCTAACAAACCACCCTCCTGTTTTTACAGAGTTCACTCCCAGTATTAGCAGTTGAATGTACTAGCCGGCCGGTTCACACTATCCCTCCTCACAAACCACCCTCCTGTTTTTACAGAGTTCTCTCCCCAGTATTAGCAGTTGAATGTACTAGCCGGCCGGTTCGCGGAGTCTCCCTTCTAACAAACCACCCTCCTGTTTTTACAGAGTTCACTCCCCAGTATTGGCTGTTGAATGTACTAGCCGGCCGGTTCACACTATCCCTTCTAACAAACCACCCTCCTGTTTTTACAGAGTTCTCTCCCCAGTATTAGCAGTTGAATGTACTAGCCGGCCGGTTCGCGGAGTCTCCCTTCTAACAAACCACCCTCCTGTTTTTACAGAGTTCACTCCCCAGTATTGGCTGTTGAATGTACTAGCCGGCCGGTTCACACTATCCCTTCTCACAAACCACCCTCCTGTTTTTACAGAGTTCACTCCCCAGTACTGGCAGTTGAATGTACTAGCCGACCGGTTCACGGAGTCTCCCTTCTCTATCGTGGGATTCCCATGTGACCAGTTCGCCCATCAGGAGCCCGGCGCTAACAAGACTGAGTTGCTGGCGGGACTCAGATATGTCCGCCCTGGCAAAAATTACACCCCTCACTTCACACTACACATGAAGATTCACGTCAACGGCGAGGAAGAACTGCCCCTCTATAGGTACCTGAAGGTAAGCAGACATTGATATACTCAGCAGACAATCACAGGTACCGCAAGGTGAGTCATCTTCCCGAAGGGCGGTCGGGTAGCCTAGTGGTTAAAGCGTTCGCTCGTCACGCCGAAGACCCCGGTTCGATTCCCGACATGGGTTAAATGTGTGGAGCCCATTTCTGGTGTCCCCCGCCGTGATATTGCTGGAATATTGCTAAAAGCGGCGTAAAACCATACTCACTCACTCACTCATCTTCCCGAGGCAAGGGAGTTAACTGACTGAAAAAGTCCAGTTTCCACCCTTGTCGAACTAGGCTGGAATTTCTGGGCTCGATGGAATCACCACCGGTGGCTATTACGAGTTATGTCCCTTCTATGCCTCTCCTTTTGACCAATCGAATTCCACACCTAACTTGCATTTGCCTTAAACAAAAATGCGGCGCCCAGTCAAGACGATCTGATCGATGATCAAGATATAGATTGTAATAAAACGGGTCTCACCTCGCGAAGTGTATCAAATTACGTAAGCACTTAGATTAAAAACATGAACAGTTTGGGAAAATATCTGTCGACGCCCAGTTGGCGGTACACAAGCTTTGCAAACCCTGCAGTCGACGGAAATCTGCACGTTGAAATCTATGTTGATTACGAACAGGATGTCGATTTCGTTACGCGTTCGTCCAGCCAAGATATGACTCCATAATTGCAGCCTCGTTCGGAAAGGGTGGAAACTGGACTGTAATAGTTAGTAACCTCCCTTGCCTCGGGGAGATGAAGGTGAGTAGACAATTTACAGACAATTTACAGGTACCGTAAGGTGAGTAGACAATTTACTGGTAAGGTAAGGTGAGTAGACAATCTACAGGTACCGTAAGGTGAGATGACAATTTACAGACAATTTACAGGTACCGTAAGGTGAGTAGACAATCTACAGACAATTTTCACGTAACGTAAGGTGAGTAGACAATTTACAGGTACCGTAAGGTGACTAGACAATTTACAGACAATTCACAGGTAAGGTTAGGTGAGTGGACAATTTACAGGTACCGTAAGGTGAGTAGAACATTTACAGACAATTTACACGTAAGGTAATGTGAGTAGACAATTTACAGGTAAGGAAAGGTGAGTAGACAATTTACAGGTAAGGAAAGGTGAGTAGACAATTTACAGGTACCGTAAGGTGAGATGACAAGTTACAGGTACCTTTATGTGAGTAGACATTGATACACTCAAGTGCGGTTCTACATGTACAGCCAGGGCATTACAATACTTGACAATTCACGGCCGATGCCAATATGGGGAACACCCCAACAAGTACCCCAAAAGTGTGTCGAAAGTTAATGGTACCCTATACTGACTGTCTGGTTTAAAAGATATACCGTATTCGACGTAATAAGCGCCCAGGGCGCTCTCAAAATTAGAAATAGGGGGGCTCTTATTAGAATATTTTTGTGATGAAAAAAAACAGAGTCGAGAGATAAATTTCGTGGTTTATGCTGACAGCCTGAAATTTTTATGTACGACAGATATATTTTTCCAGAATTTAATTGCCCATAATTAAAGGTGCATATAACACACGAGTGCGTATTATTCGCGAAAAAATAAGTCTTGTTGGCGCGTATTAGAGCGGGGCGCATATTACGTCGAATACGGTATGTAATCCGACTCAACCGTTGCTTCACATTCATGAAGATCCTTTCTCCTGTTTCAGGATTCTTGTCCCGTTCCTCTAGACGCTTCTTACGACAGAACCGAGTCATTCTGGGACCCTATTAAGGTCAACGATATTTCATGGAACTTCGAGAAGTTTCTCATTGACCAAAATGGCCGCCCACTTTTCCGGTTTCGACCGGATGTTGAACCTACGGACCTGGAAAAGCTGGTTGAGCTGATGTTGGAGACATCCATGGATCGCGACCCGTGGAAGGCGAAAGCGGAGGATGAACTTCAAATTATACACAACAAGATGGAGGTCAGAGAGGAGGCGAAGAAAAGAGAGGAAGAGAAAAAGAAACAAAACTAACTTTCATCTATCGAAAATTGAGTATATTATTCAAAAATGATGTCTTTGTCCCGATCAACTATTTTTAAATTCTTTATTTATTGGCATTGTGTTTATAGTAAATCGTGCTCTTCAGGTGCCTATGATGAGTGATTCATACACAGTATTCACCCCGGAGTAACCGGAAGTCTGGTACCGGATGTGCTGAACTTCTGTCCTCATGGTGTATTTATACTAATGGAAACGTGTAAAATTTGAAGAAATGAGTTGTTTGATTGTAACTAGCAGATTATATAAGTTTATATATACCTACCTGACCTCATAGGAACCAGTTACTGTTTTTTTTTTTTAATTTTTTTAAATTTTTTATTTTTTTAAATAATATTTTTATTTCAATTTCGTAGACATAAATGTAACATTGGTAATGAGGTATATAAGAGTAGCAGTTCAGAATATGATCAGATATGGTTATATACATATATTGATTGACTGAGAAATTATAATAAGTAGGCCAGATCATATACCGATATGTATCGGTCTATGGTCTCTGAGTAGGCTGATAATTCCTTCCATTTTCTGTCGAATCTATTATTACTACAAATTTCATTGCGATTTCAACTTACTGTTAGTTAATCAGGTGTTTGATATCATAATTCCTACACGGACCTAGAGGTGATGTAGGTCTGTCGAGTGTGGGGTTGTTGGGGTGGGTGTAGGGTGTAGTGGGTGGGGGTGTACTAGCCATTGGTCCATTCGTAAGGTTTCCAGGGTGATCTGGTATACTAAACTTTAACATTGTAACGCCATTATGACTACGTCATTGAATTTATTTGCTTAACAAATTACACGATCACTGAACGCAAATTGCAAATCACAAACTCCATCTTCCTGTTCCAAATGCTGTATCCGCACTTGATAAATACAGCTGATTTTTAACGCCGGGTACAGGGCATCCCTGGTTATGTTTGATGAAGCCTGCATTATATTACATTCGAGATCTGATTTTCCAATCTGCAGTGTCATAAAATTTCATTGTATCAATTTAATTTCCTGCCGTGTTATTGGTTATTTGTGTTGACTAATAATCTCTGTCTGCACGTGCTTTGGGCCCCCGGGTCACTGACCTCTTCCTCTGATACACTAAATGACGGTCTCGCTGTAAACTGCGCATGCGCAGAAGGCATGGCCTGATAACCAAAAGGGGATGTGGTTTTGTACATTCAACCACAGTCTTGTTGTTGGTAGCGTTCACGGAGGCTGTTAGTGACCCAGTATCCGCCATTTCAATAATAAACGCTATATTTTTTCACGTGTGTCATGTGGGTTTTTTTTAATGAGAGAGAGAGAGAGAGAGAAAGAGAGAGAGAGGGAGAGAGAGAGAGAGAGAGAGAGAGAGATCGTTTGTTCTTATAATACTAGCACACTCAAATACCATGCCTTATTTAAGTCACGTGTTACTTGAGGTCTTCTGGCCTATGGGTATCGCTCGATGGGTTTCTTTAATACCCTTGTTCCTATTTACAAACGAGTGTTTTTGGTGCAGAAGGGAACACAATTGTGACTTTTTTAGATCAAAGTATAGTCATAAACCAAATGTACCAAGGAGGTAGTCAATGACCGACGTACTTGTCATGCGTCAGTTCTTACTGGGGCGACTGTCAGTACCAGTCAGTACCAGTCAGTACACCACGAGATGCCGCAGATGCGAAGAAACCAGGGAGAGATGCCGGATTCCGGCGGCGATGGAGTGGCCTAGTGGTTAAGACTAAGTTATATCACGGTGTGTCAGCTTGGTGGGGGGAGAGGTGTGTGGGGGGAGGGGAAGTCCGAAGTGATGCATGTCATGGGCGGATACAGCTTTTTTGAAAAGGGGGGGTGCACAATTAAGATCTATTTATTGTCTTTGGTGGTAATTTATACAGAAATAAAGATTTTTTTCGAAAGAATAAAAAGGGGGGAGGGGGGGGGGGGGGGGGGGGGGGCACCCCCGCACCCCCCTTTTGTATCCGCCCATGCTTGTCTCAGACTTTTACCACTTTGGTGAAGCCCACGAGGACGGGTATGACGCTCACAACCAGGGGCCACTTGCACAAACAAAGCCATCTTAGCGCTAAGATCGCTTTGTGCAAGTGGGCCCAGGGCGAACCGGGTTCCGAGCTCCTGGTTTACACCCAAGGAACGCAACTCGTCAGCAAGGCACTTTCAGTTTCTAGACGTCTTACCTCGATCTGGATGTTCTAAAAAATAATGTGTAGTGGGTCTCAACAGATTGTTTGGTTCCGCCTTTTAAAACAACAACAAGGCGTGACTTGTACCACGGAGTTGGGTCATCAAGACACTTGCACCGATGAGGGATTATAAACATGTTCATGGTCCAAATATAGTGAGTAAGTTGGGTTCATCATCATCATCATCATCATCATCATCATCATCATCATCGTCAAGACAATTGCACCGATGAGGGATTATTTATAAACATGTTCATGGTCCAAATATAGTAAGTTGGGTTTATCATCATCATCATCATCATCATCATCAAGAAGGGGCGGTCGGGTAGCCTAGTGGTTAAAGCGTTCGCTCGTCACGCCGAAGACCCGGGTTCGATTCCCCATATTGGTACAATGTGTGAAGCCCATTTCTGGTTTCCCCCGTCGTGATATTGCTGGAATATTACAAAACGCGGCGTAAAATCATACTCACTCCACTCCTCGCGTTGGAAATACGACCGATGTAGTTCATGTCTCCTGGACGTGAACGAGTCATCTAGAGGCAGATTTGCTGCCATTATTTAAGCTAAGGGAGATATATTTGACGGAATAATTTAATATTTGTTTGGTGGAATTGAGGATTGGGTGGTCACCGTGTGTAAAATGGCCGTGTATGATTGTATACCGATGGCGTGGATCGTTGTTCCGTGTATACTATAAACTTGTGAGTTCATCGCGCCTTTGCGTAGCTTCAATATTGCTGACTGCGGCGTTAAACAACATTCTTTCATTCACGGTTGACATTGTATCCATACACTTCATACGATATCTTTTACATTCCGTCACATCTCACAGGACGTTTGTATTCCAAACAGAAACGAAATATTGGAAAAAATCAAAATTTATTTACATAGCAATGGGTAATAATGAAGAATTAGACATACAAATAAAAATAAAAAATAAAAAAACCAAACAAACAGATTTTTTTAAAATGTACATGAGACAATTTCAGAATTGGACACGGTCATTATTTCCAGTTCTGTATGCAATATAAGGGCGAGACATAAACCCTGAATACTACAACCAATCCACTTCGGTTAATCGGAGTCTAACATTAGGTGACCGATATCAGTCCTTTGTCCACACAGGCAATTGGTCCATAAGTAATTTCATGGGTGATAGCATACTGCTACCATGATTTGATGCTGTGATTCAGTGTATAACATCCTCTTCTGATCTCGCACATCCCTAATTAGCGTAAACATTCCAATATTTACCGTACACGTCAATATAACGGTACCTTTAAAACCGATAATCAGTTTACATCATGGTCAGCCATTTAAAGACTCCCACGCACCTAACTGGTCGAACTCCCATGTTCACTTGGCAGCCCATGTCACTCTTCTACATCCTTTCGGGCCTAATTAGGGATCATACGGTATCTGCCCAAACCCGCAGGCCTCTCATATTGAACAGCAGCATAGGCATGATAGGGGTGACCACGTATTCCCATAATGGACGTCTTCACACCAGGCGACCAAGAGCCACAGACAACATATTATTTTTTTGTCCATCAATGTGAGCCGTGGAGGTTCACGTGATGAGTCAACACCGTCAGTTTGGAGGGATTTCCAAGATGGCGACATTACTGATTCCGGTGTAGTCATGTATGCGACGGAACCGGAATTGACGCCATATTGGAAAGAGTTCGAGGACGGTACTTCCGGTTCTCATGTTCTTCGTTCACCGGAAGCGGTTGTGCCACCATCTTAGAAATCCCGACAGACGAGGAGTGATTAATTACATATTTACATCCAAACTGTTTCTCTCTATCATGTAAGCTTTTGTTCGTTCTATTGTACACATGTTCCTGTCCAGGCAGGTTCCTTGGCTCGACGTCAACGAGAACATTTGAAGTACATTTTCACGGCCAGTGTCACGACCGGAACACGAGTTTCCTCAGGCGACACACACACTACGGTCTATGTAACAAGACCCATTCAAGTCCTGTTACTTTCGTAACTACTCGTGCAGCTACGGGGTAGGCCCCGTAAAGAGTCGAGATGGCACGGAAGGCCATGAAGTGGAACCATCATCAATAATCACGATCAATATCGGTGGGCCCCGATAGACGGCTCTTGAGACCACGTAGAGATAAAAGCTTACGCCAGGTCGACTCGGCCGACGACGGTGAAGTTGTGGTAGCCGCTGTCGCAGCTTGCAGAAGACGAAACTGAACCAAATCTGGTAGTGTTTAGATCAGGGCTGAGAGTGACGGGGCAATGAAGATATGAAGAGGATAATTTTGGTGCGGCAGACGGACCAAGGTAACCATCATCCTCGTCTGGTTCAATTCCTGATGTAGGTATTTTCATCAACAATGTGTTTTCCGGCACCCTCTCCAGCGTTCCTACTCTGTCGCGAGGCCCGGTCTGATTATCCACCACTCGACCACGAACGTCGATATGACCCCTGATTTGACCTTGACCTTCACGCATTTGTTTAGCTTTCAGCATTTCCATTTTTTCAATTGGAGTGTACAGATTATGCACGGTGTGAGGATGACCGTCACCGTCACAAGGTGTCGTTGTAGTCGTTGACGTCAACTCCGCTCGGACCGCCCACGAGCGGTTGCTATTTGACCTTGCAACCTGGTTTGTTTTCTTGGCACAAGGCGGGTCCTCGGATTGAGAATTGGTGGAGGCCTTTCGTGTGTACTTGACGCCCGAATCTCGGCGAATACTTTGTACGTTGACGCTGAGCGAGACTTCCTGCTGCTGACGTATTTGACGCTGTCGCCGATGACGTCGACACGCTACCCAGATGAAGACGGCAAAGAACAGAAACAGAGTTGCCATTGCTATTCCCAGCAGCAGTGGCATGAAAGAGGCCGTATCTGAAGAGGAAGGTTGTGAGTGAGTGAATAATATTTAACGTCATTTTTAAAATTCTTCCGGCAACATCATAATGTACAAAGATAAGAATATAATGACGAAGCCAAGGAGATAGGGTTAATGTACAAAATTAACACTATATTAATGACGAAGCCAAAAGGATTAAAAGAGAGGATTCAATTAAGTACATTAGAGGTGTAGTGATGACAAAGTGCTTCCTCTTGTGATACGGGGGCACGGGTGCCCAGTCGTCTCAGGCGCCGCGATTCGCTGTGCAGAGTTGCGTCCCTTAGGCACGCCAAAAACCTATGATTGTGGGTTCGAATCCCGGTTCGCCCCGATTATGTTTCTAGGTTTGTCAGCACCATACACGTGCTCGTGGGTTTCACCAAAGTGGTAAACGTCTGAGACCTGCATCACTTCGGGCTTTCGTCCCACATCAAGCTGACACGCCGTGATATAACTGGAATACTGCTAAAAGCACTCCCTCGTTCACTCTATTTCAATAAGAAGCAAACGTATGGAGGTATGTGGAAAAGTGCCGACATCGAGAAATACAATTACCCACCTGGTGACCCTGAAGAAGGTGGCGGAGAAGCGGGGCGCCGGAACTGGCGGTCAAGGTCATCTGAAGATACAGAGAAAATCATTGACTAATAATATACATATAATATGTTCAAGGTTTAAACCATTAAACAAAAATAGGCAACACGACGTCACGATTCCTTTCTAAATCATTAGCTTGAAAAACGAAGCTGCTAACCGGAAGTGATGTAACTAACCACGTGACCTTGGACACTGGTGGCGGTAGAAGCCAATTGACTGCAAACATTTCAACACTCAATTTGTTTGTCTGCTAACTCATGTTCTTTTTTATATATTAAGTTAATACTTAATGATTCATAAAGGCAGTAGGCGTTTATGAAATTAAAAGAATAAAGAATGAGTTGTGCCACCTTGCTCAGCTGTGGAATGACATTGATGTTGGAAGTTTTGTTTGTTTATTTGTTGTTGTTGCACTTAGCAATATTCCAGCTATATGACGGCGGTCTGTAAATAATCAAGTCTGGACGAGACAATCCAATGATTAACATCCTGAGCAATGATCCACGTAATTGGGATACGATGACATGCATCAACCAAGTCAGCATCACCGTCTTAACGTGTACTCATACGCTGCTAAGTGAACAGAGGCATAATTTAAACAATGTCACTTTCCCAAGGAGACACCACATGCAACGTGTGCTTCGAATTCTGTGTGGGCAGGACCGAAGAACGAGATATGATATATTTGAACAAATCTAGCTTACGTTTATCCTTGCCGTAAAGGACGTTTATGCGGAAGCCCCGCCCTCTAGTGGCAGAGTTACCGGAAGTGAAGGTTATCTTCAGACTGGGACCCGGGCTGTAGATACTGGAATGTGGTTTCCTCACTACAAGCCTGAAAATATAAAGATAAATATAAAGAAAATATAACCAGACAATGCTAGAAACTGGCAGATGGATGTCTTTATAATCTCTAGGGTGGTGGGGTAGCCTAGTGGTTTAAGCGTTCGCTCGTCACGCTGAAGACCCGGGTTCGATTCCCGATATGGGTACAATGTGTGAAGCCCATTTCTGGTGTCCCCCGCCGTGATATTGCTGGAATATTGCTAAAAGCGGCGTAAAACGTCACTCAACCACTATATTCTTTACCAGTGGTGATCGGAGGGGCAGCATATGGTTAACGCGTTCGCTCGTCGATGTGTAAATTCAATGATATATGTGATATCATTGGATTTATAAAAAAAGGGCAAGATCAGGTTTTTTGGCTTGGTTTGGTCTTAGGCTGTAAACAGGCCTAATCCAAAGAATTTGTATTTATCATTTTTCTCTACGCCCTCTACATATTCTGGGTAATTTCATGGATGGAGCTCTGTGTCAGAACCACAATGGCGCAGATTCTAAAGCGTATTATTCCTAACCCTAACCTGATAAACACCATAAAACCTTATGTGATAAGAATTCGACACAACCAGTCTTCCTCAATGATCCAGGGAATTATATTTGTAGTACTTCATAATAAGTATTTTTGTTTGTTAGGTCTGTTGTTTAACGCCCCACTCAGTAATATTCTAGCTGTATGACGGCGGTCTGTAAATAATCGAGTCTGGATCAGACAATCCAGTGATCGTTATCATGAGCATCGATCCACGAAATTAGGATACCCATTAGTACCCATTCACCACAAGAGCGTCGTTTAGAGCCCGCGAGTCAAAGACCCACATCCTATCAAGTCACACTCATGAGCAAGAGTAAGTTATAAAGAAGATGGAGGTGGTGACGTCACTTGATGAAACGACGTCCGGGGTATGTATCATAATGGAAAAGCGACAAAATGCGTTGGATCACAGTCCTCTGTAACCTTTACACAAAGATTAGATTACGTCATGATCTTGACCGCTTTTTGTGAATAGCAACTGTCATTCATAAGGATACTGTGTCGTAGATGTGAGACGTGATCCCGGATGTGTGTTAAGTCCGCAGTCAAAGCCTCGCTCCCAGCCAATCGTGGCTGCCAATGTTGGAAACGGGAAAGCAGGATCTATTTCAAGATATTTATGACGGACCTAACATTCTGCGAATTTTGATCTTCAATGTTTGTCAATGACATTCTCATTAGATAAGAAATGTCATGTCATGTTAATGAACGTATTTCAAAATACCGTTATATAAATGTATAAGCAGTAAACTCGGGTTATAACGAACACGCTTATAACGAACTGACGGATATAAGGAACTTACTTTTTTGGTCCCGACTATTTTGCTGTAGTTATGCTGTATATATGCTTATAACGAACTACGGTTATAACGAACTAAAATTAGTAGTCCCGTTGAGTTCGGTTATAACGAACTAAAATTGGTAGTCCCGTTGAGTTCGGTTATAACGAACTAAAATTAGTAGTCCCGTTGAGTTCGTTATAACCGTACTTTACTGTATACAATAAAACCGTCAACGCCAGAGAATAACTACTTTCAATTATCCGCCGTCACCACTGGCCGTACAAGTATAAATTAGGTGAAAATTATATGAATAGATCTCTGGAATTCAGTGATGACACCAGGTGTTCGTGATAAAGGAAAGCATGCCCTGCCCTACTGACAGCGTCTGAAATGTGAGACCAAACCAGGGACTGGCTGTTGTTTGACAACAGATTATTCTAATGACAAGGTGAGAGACTCAACTTTTTCCTAAATGAGCCTAATGATTTTTTTGAGAGTTTGTGACTCAAGGGGATTTAATTCGCGCCACACCCCCTTCCCCCGACCCCCACCCTCTCACAAAGATGAAGTGTTAAAAAAAAGAACATGAATTGCCATTATAACTGTAACTATTATGCATAAATAAAAGGAAATGTATCAGTTTACTTTTTTCATACATTATATTATTTTTGGAAGTTTGATTTAGCACGGAATTTGACTACTTTAGGTAAAACCCGGGAAAAGTGCTGAGTTATGACATAAGTGTCCCTGCTCATGATGTATTTTGCGAGAAATACATATTTGAATAGCCCAGGCATAATGCTATTGTTACGCGTATTCAAAACGGACCTTTCGGGGGTAAATAAACGTACCCTATCTCTGACCATCTAATCTGCCTATAAGGTGTAAGCATCACGCTCAGGGGACGTTTACGTACCCGTTCCCAACATCGATCATTAGATAGTCATTTTTATTGAGGTCGACATCGGTGAAGTTGACTCCCCACAACCCGGAGTCGGCCTGCCACACCCAGGTACATCGGACCCCTTGGGGGTAAGGCTTTGGGTAGTCATGGGAGCTGATGGTCTGACTGGTGGTGTAGTTGACTGTATCTGGACAAGCTGGGGAGAGAAACGGGAGAATGAGCAACCACTGACAAATACAACCCGGGGGTGAATGATTTTGGTCGACAGTTTTTGTTTGAACACTAATACAGCCATATCACGGCGCGTCAGCTTGGTGTATTGCTAAAGCCGGAAGAGTGTCTTATCCCCTTACTAATATGGGGCTGGCGAAATTAGAAACATATTCAGTGAGAACCGGAAATCGAACCCACGATCATAGGTTCCTGGCACGTCTAAGGGGCACAACTCTGCACAACGGAGCATGGCGCTTTAGACAACGTGCTCCCTGAACACAAATGGATTCACCGAAGCATAATTTTAGGTACCGATTCTAATATTCCCGAAGAGCGTCTTCGAGACAACTGTTTGACACCAAGGGAGGGAGCCAAATGACTTCGATGCTCCGACACATTAACACAACGAGTAAAAGACTGTATTTGTGTCCGCCGGACAAACGATGTTTGTGAGATAGGATGTTTGTGAAATACGATGTTTTTAAATACAATGTTTGTGAAACACGATGTTTGTGAAATACGATGTTTGTGAAATACTAGTGAGTGGGTATAGTTCGGCTCCACGTTAAGCATTATTCAAACCATGTCCTGGTGCTAGCAAATGATATATTAGTAGTCGCATATCATGCTATTCTGTCATAACAAATGTTTTCGGGGCTTGGTGTAACCTGGTAGTTGAAGAGTGCACGACAATGCCCTGGTTAAAATCATCCGCTTGCAGCAATATCAAAGCCATTTCACCACGCGTCAGAACTACGCTCCACGCAGTGTACTCTGTGAGTGAGTGAGTCAGTGAGTTGGGTTTTACGCCGCTTTTAACAGTATTCCAGTTATATCGCGGCGTGTCAGCTTAATGTGGGAGGAAAGGCCGAAGTGATGCAGGTCACAGACGTTTACCACTTCGGTGAAACCCACGAGCACGGGTATGGTGCTGACAAACCTAGAAACATAATCGGGGCGAACCGGGATTCCAACCCACAATCATAGGTTTCTGGCGTGCCCAAGGGACGCAACTCTGCAAAGCGAATCTAATTCTAATCTGTTTATTCAGTACATGAGTGGGCCAGCGGCCCATAGTACAATTCGGTTCACCAGACATGTATAAAAATACAACTGTGTACACCTAAATACACAACAGCAAGGCATTCATAGATAAAGAATATTACTTCTGCAAAAATGAATTCCTTAACTTAAAAGCGTGGTAAATATAAGCGAATCGCGGCGCCATAGACGACTGGACCACCCGTGCCCCCGTTCTCTGTGAGGAATCGAACCAGGTTTTCTGCGTTATGAGGTGAGGTGAGGTGAGGTGAGGTGAGGTGAAATGGGGTTTAACGTCTCGTTCAAGATTAATGCACTTATGTGTGTGTGTGTGTGTGCGTGTGTGTGTGTGTGTGCGTGTGCGTGTGTGTGTGTGTGTTTGTGTGTGTGTGTGTGTGTGTGTGTGTGTGTGTGTGTGTGTGTGTGTGTGTGTGTGTGTGTGTGTGTGTGTGTGTGTGTGTGTGTGTGTGCGTGTGTGTGTGTGTGCGTGTGTGTGTGTGTGCTTGTACTACTTCGGACTACTGCCGATTTATAGTGCTAGCCCACAGAGATACCATGCTGCAGTTTGACATGAATACCCCACTCAGACACAGTATACTGACTCCGGGCCGACCAGTCCTTGTTTTAGCCCTGCGTTATTAGACAGCGTAGAAAACATTCAAACCTACCTGAAGCAATACTGTACGCGAGGCTGAGTGCGAATGCTGTTAGCCACATATATCCAGCCATGGCGAACAGTAGAGTGGCACCGATCAAGGATCTGAGTTGTTAGGCGTGGCTCGTGCAATCTCTCTTGAGTCAAAAGCCACACGCCAATCGTCAGTTCTCCCGAATTGTTAGTCCTGATTTTGAAATGTTTCAAGACAACACAAGTTTCATATATCCATCCACTGTAAAATTACAGTTAGAGCAGATTATGCGTATTCCAAAGGTTCTTGGCATTTAAGATAAACGTGTTTGTTTACATCCGGGACTGCAGTACAGAGATGTTGGATCTAGGCGACTGTTGTTCTTGTACAAAACCAGGATGTGATCTCGGGTACGGTGTCAGGCGCATATGGTCGACTCCCGCAGTACAAGCCTTTAACTAATAGTACTCGTCAGTGATGCTTCTTCCGTTTGTGACGCGCATAATATTCTTCCTTGTCCCGCTATGCTGTTATTGGCCATTGAATAAGGGGGTGTGCAGTTGCGTATATGTCACTGTTGTCCTGCTTGTGAAGACTTGTGGATGTTGTTTGTAAATCACCAATGTTACATTGGATCCAGCCTACAGTTCACGTGTATTTAAAAAACGAATCTTACCCAAGCCAATTCTACAATTCTCAGTTCAGCGACTACGCAATCTACGGCGACCGTGACTTTACCGGCCACTCGACGACCCGCCAAACCTTACCGCCCAATCTCTACATCACCCGACTGCACAACCAACCCAGCCTTACCCACACCCCTACATCACCCAACTCCATACCCACCCAACCTTACCGCCCAATCCCAACATCACCCAACCACACATCCCACCCAACCTTACCGCCCCATCCCAACACCACCCGACTCCACAACCCACCTATCCTTACCCTCACCCCTACATCACCCGACTCCACAACCCACCTAGCCTTACCCTCACCCCTACATCACCCGACTCCACAACCCACCTAGCCTTACCCTCACCCCTACATCACCCGACTCCACAACCCACCTAGCCTTACCCTCACCCCTACATCACCCGACTCCACAACCCACCTAGCCTTACCCTCACCCCTACATCACCCGACTCCACAACCCACCTAGCCTTACCGCCCCATCCCTACATCACCCGACTCCACAACCCACCCAACATTACCGCCCCATCCCAACATCACCCGACTTCACAACCCACCTAGCATTACCGCCCCATCGCAACGTCACCCGACTCCACAACCCACCCAACATTACCGCCCCATCGCAACATCACCCGACTTCACAACCCACCTAGCATTACCGCCCCATCGCAACATCACCCGACTTCACAACCCACCTAGCATTACCCTCACCCCTACATCACCCGACTCCACACCCCACCCAACCATACCGCCCCATCCCTACATCACCCGACTTCACAACCCACCTAGCATTACCGCCCCATCGCAACATCACCCGACTTCACAACCCACCTAGCATTACCCTCACCCCTACATCACCCGACTCCACACCCCACCCAACCTTACCGTCCCATCCCCACATCACCCGACTCCACAACCCACCCGATCTTACCCTTATCTCTTTATCACCCGACTCCCCAAGCCACCCAAACCATACCACCCCATTTTCATTGAACACTGTAGAATATCCTGTCAGTGTCATTAAGTAGACAGATGTGTGTGAATCATCTCTCTTGGGCAACACACGGTTTGTGGAGATATTCAATCATCTCCGAGGTCGAGCAGTCTCGCCGAATTAAGGAAGTGCAGGAAGGCGACATAAGACGACTCGCATCACCGGAAGGTTGAAGTCATCTTGTCTTGAATCACGCCTCCTTCAAGCTTCCCCCAGAATGGTCTCTTGAGCTAAAGAGGATGCGCATATCCTGTAGCTAGTTTCTTCATTCAACCGCGGTCGGTGTAAGTAATGAAGTTAACGTAGTTGTGTTGAACTGTGCAGCTCCGTGTCGCTCTGTATATCGCTATGTGGATGTGTGTAGCTGTGTGTAGCGCTATGTAGCTGTGTAGCGCAATGTTGTTGTGTGTAGCTGTGTGTAGCGCTATGTGGATGTGTGTAGCTGTGTGTAGCGCTATGTAGCTGTGTAGCGCAATGTTATTGTGTGTAGCTGTGTGTAGCGCTATGTGGATGTGTGTAGCTGTGTGTAGCGCTATGTAGCTGTGTAGCGCAATGTTGTTGTGTGTAGCTGTGTGTAGCGCTATGTGGATATGTGTAGCTGTGTGTAGCGCTATGTAGCGCAATGTTATTGTGTGTAGCTGTGTGTAGCGCTATGTGGATGTGTGTAGCTGTGTGTAGCGCTATGTAGCTGTGTAGCGCAATGTTGTTGTGTGTAGCTGTGTGTAGCGCAATGTGGATGTGTGTAGCTGTGTGTAGCGCTATGTAGCTGTGTAGCGCAATGTTGTTGTGTGTAGCTGTGTGTAGCGCAATGTGGATGTGTGTAGCTGTGTGTAGCGCTATGTAGCTGTGTAGCGCAATGCTGTTGTGTGTAGCTGTGTGTAGCGCTATGTGGATGTATGTAGCTGTGTGTAGCGCTATGTAGCGCAATGTTATTGTGTGTAGCTGTGTGTAGGGCTATGTGGATGTGTGTAGCTGGGTGTAGCGCTATGTAGCTGTGTAGCGCAATGTTGTTCTGGTAACTGTCTGTAGCGCTATGCGAATGTGTGTTGCGCTATGTAGCTGTGTATCGCAATGCGGTTGTTTGTAGCTATGTGTCGCGCTATGAGGTTATGTGTAGCTGTGTGTAACGCTATGTGGCTGTGTGTATTTGTATCTAGCTCTACGTGTTTATGTGTAGCTGTGTGTAGCGCTGTATGGTTGCGTGTGTAGTTGGGTGTAGCGCCATGTGGCTGTGTAGCGCTATGTGGTTGTGTGTAGTTGTATCCAGCGCTACGTAGTAATATGTAGCTGGGTGTAGCGCCATGTGGCTGTGTAGCGCCATGTGGCTGTGTAGCGCCATGTGGCTGTGTAGCGCTTGTGGCTGTGTAGCGCCATGTGGCTGTGTAGGTCTATGTGGTTGTGTAGCGCTACGTGAGTGAGTGAGTGAGTTTGGTTTTACGCCGCTTTTAGCAATATTCCAGCAATATCACGGCGGGGGACACCAGAAAGGGGCTTCACACATTGTACCCATGTCGGGATTCGAACCCGGGTCTTCGGCGTGACGTGCGAACGCTTTAACCGCTAGGCTACCCGACCGCCCCTGTAGCGCTATGTGGCTGTATGTAGTTGTGTAGCTGTGTATGGTTGTGAGAAGCTGTGTGTGGTCCAGCTAATAACTATGTACTGGGCTAACATGTGAGCTACATTGCAAGACATAAACTATGCAATAGCGACACGTGCACAATACCACGCTGTTTGTCGCAGTAATAACCTTTAACCTCTTGCAGCATGCCGAGTGTGCACGTGCACTGGTTGACCTGTTTGATGCTCCGCACAGCGATTGCACGGAAGCAGAGTTTGCAGTGTCAGTAGGGAGCGGTAGACTAAGCCACAATAACAGGACGAAACTGACAATCGTCGGAAGTGAACTCTCACGAGATCTCAAAGTCCCATTTTAGTGACGCGATCTTTGTAACAAGGTCAGGACATCTGACTGGCGCATGCGCTATGTTGACACGAGTTGTATTGGAGTGGACGATCATCGTTGGTTTAAGTAGACAGTCGTGCTTTACTGTTTGTAATTAACTGTCTTTGTTGGTTGTAGTAGACAGTTATTGTTGGTTGTAGTAGACAGTTATTGTTGGTTGTAGTAGACAGTTATTGTTGGTTGTAGTAGACAGTCATTGTTGGTTGTAGTAGACAGGCATTGTTGGTTGTAGTAGACAGTCATTGTTGGTTGTAGTAGACAGTTATTGTTGGTTGTAGTAGACAGTCATTGCTGGTTGTAGTTGACTGTCATTGTTGGTTGTAGTAGACAGTCATTGTTAGTTGAAGTAGACAGTTATTGTTGGTTGTAGTAGACAGTCATTGTTGGTTGTAGTAGACAGTCATTGTTGATTGTAGTAGACAGCTATTGTTGGTTGTAGTAGACAGTTATTGTTGGTTGTAGTAGACAGTCATTGCCGGTTGTAGTAAACAATCATTGTTGGTTGTAGTAGACAGTCATTGTTGGTTGTAGTAGACAGTCATTGTTGGTTGTAGTAGACAGTCATTGTTGATTGTAGTAGACAGTCATTGTTGATTGTAGTAGACAGTCATTGTTGGTTGTAGTAGACAGTTATTGTTGGTTGTAGTAAACAGTTATTGTTGGTTGTAGCAGACAGTCGTTTTTGGTTGTAGTAGACAGTCATTGTTGGTTGTAGTAGACAGTTATTGTTGGTTGTAGTAGACAGTCATTGTTGGTTGTAGTAGACAGTCATTGTTGATTGTAGTAGACAGTCATTGTCGGTTGTAGTAGACAGTCATTGTCGGTTGTAGTAGACAGTCATTGTTGGTTGTAGTAGACAGTTAATGTTGGTTGTAGTAGACAGTCATTGTTGGTTGTAGTAGACAGTCATTGTTGGTTGTAGTAGACAGGCATTGTTGATTGTAGTAGACAGTTATTGTTGGTTGTAGTAGACAGTCATTGTTGGTTGTAGTAGACAGTTATTGTTGGTTGTAGTAGACAGTTATTGTTGGTTGTAGTAGACAGTTATTGTTGGTTGTAGCAGACAGTCGTTTTTGGTTGTAGTAGACAGTCATTGTTGGTTGTAGTAAACAGTCATTGTTGATTGTAGTAGACAGTTATTGTTGGTTGTAGTAGACAGTCATTGTTGATTGTAGTAGACAGTTATTGTTGGTTGTAGTAGACAGTCATTGTTGGTTGTAGTAGACAGTCGTTGTTGGTTGTAGTAGACAGTTATTGTTGGTTGTAGTAGACAGTTATTGTTGGTTGTAGTAGACAGTTATTGTTGGTTGTAGCAGACAGTCGTTTTTGGTTGTAGTAGACAGTCATTGTTGGTTGTAGTAGACAGTTATTGTTGGTTGTAGTAGACAGTTATTGTTGGTTGTAGCAGACAGTCGTTTTTGGTTGTAGTAAACAGTCATTGTTGGTTGTAGTAGACAGTTATTGTTGGTTGTAGCAGACAGTCGTTTTTGGTTGTAGTAGACAGTCATTGTTGGTTGTAGTAGACAGTTATTGTTGGTTGTAGTAGACAGTTATTGTTGGTTGTAGTAGACAGTTATTGTTGGTTGTAGCAGGCAGTCGTTTTTGGTTGTAGTAGACAGTTATTGTTGGGCCCTCAGGGCCAACCTTATTTCTTAAAATTTTAATATGTTATGTTGTAATTTCAAGATAATAATCATGAAATTCTTAGATATGTGGACATTTAAAGATTTTAACTTTTAAGAAAAAAACAAGTGGCCCTAAAAGGCTTCCGAACATTACATATAATTGCTGCTTTTCGGGCAGGCAGGTTTGCTAAAGTCCAATCCTAGCCCGGATCTTCACGGGTCTGCGCACTGTGCAGAGGACCAGGTGCCACTACAATATATCTACGTGTCATGTGGCATTGCAGTCTCTCGGTAACTTTAGTCGATCTAAGGAGGTGTTCCGCCTCTACATACTGTTATATAAATACTTACTGCGTTACATCTTCCTAGTAACAGAAGTAGTCGTAGTAACAAATAGCTCGACACACCGTGATATCTCCACCTATTCGTGCTTCCTCGAGGGGTTAGCTTCCTTGAACTTAAGGTGTTTCATGGGGAACGATTCCTTGTTAGAATTTCAG